GGAGGTGCTCACAGGCCCTCCCACCCCTCAGGCTCCCCCAGGAGTGACCCACTGCCCAGCCCATGTCCAGTCCCCAGGACTGGCATCCTTGCATTCAGCTTCTGCAGGGGAAGGACCTCTGCCTTTCCCCCAAAACCAGAAACAGAGGGTGGGGAGGCTGATGATGTCCATCAGAGTAACGTCTGGGGATCCTGTGATTGGAGGGGACTGAATGAGGCCACGCTCAGCGACCTCTCTCTTCTCTGCCTGAAGATGGATGCCCCCATGCACACAACATAGGGCCTCACAGGGAGGAGAGTCTAAGCTCTTCCTGGAGGGGGAAAAACAGGAGCCCCTGATTCAACTGGGAGCAAAGGAGAGATCAGAGGACCCAGGGGAAGGGCCGCCCGGGCTGAGGCTCGGCCTTGATGCTTAGGAGCACAGGCTCACTGTCAGTTTGTAGGACTTGGTCTGAAGTGATCACACCCAAGTGTGAAGGCAAAACCAAATTCACCTCGACAAAACGCCTTCAGTACAGAAGCCCAGACAGCCTTTGTCCACTTGGAGGTTTTGGAAGCTTGAGATGCTGTGTAGCTCATGATGGACCTGGGGTTAAGTAACACACTCCCAAGTTCTTAGAAAACAACAAACAAAACCTGTCAGACTGCCAATTCTGCTAAGGGCCCCACCTGGTCAAGCCTCTAAGGAGATGCTCCAGTGTCAGCCAGTCATGGGAAACGTGCAGTTCAGCTGCGAGGATCTGTAGTCAGGCTGCACGGGCCATCCAAGCCCCTTGCAAGTCGCCCACCTATACGTTCTGGGGTTTGGCTTTGAGAAACTCTTCAACCCATCAACCCCCGGGGTTCATACTGTCCATTACAGGTAAAAACTGTGTGTTCATGGTTTGCAGACCTTGCGAACAACAAACCAGCCCTTTTGCTTCAAGACATCCAGATTCTTTTCTGGGATTTAATTCTAATTTTAGGATGACATCTGAAACAGTGCATAACTACTTTAGATTAGTGATGTCCAAATCTTCATTGAGTATTTGCTGTCTGTCAAGTGCTGAGCAGAGAGCAGACTGGGAACTGACTGAGGAGCATCCTGGTCTGGGAGAAGCTCTGAATCCACAGAAGAGAAGACATGCCGGGAAGTGCCTGCCATCATAGGAAAATGGACAGGGCTTGTGCTCGGGAAGTTCAAGGAGGGATCCTAGATTTAGAAGCTGCCTGGGGAGGACAGGATTGGGCTCCACTTTCAGAGATGAAGAAGACATGCTTGTGGAGGAAGCTGGCAGCAGAAGCAATAGAAGCAGGTCCTTTAAGGACAAGGGATCAGAAGGACCATGACGCAGCTTTGAAAGTCATGTTTTCTAACATTTGCAGTGGAGACGGCCATTACACCTGGTAACTGACAAAGTGGCCGGTAACAGAGCGTCATCTCGTTTTTTCAAGTTGGACATCATCTTAGATGAAATGAGACAAAGATGCTGCGTGATACATTTCAAACCTGCGTTGACATTTGATTGTTAATGTGAACAGCAAAGGGCTATGCGTGTCTTTGTTTGGATAGACTCACTTCTCTGCACCAGACACACAGGGTGGGGATGTGGACAAGTGACCCCAGCACGTTCCCACTCTCTCCCTGCAGGTCCTGTGAGGCAGCGACGTCCTCTCTGTTCTCTGCTGTGGACCCAGGGCCCAGCTCAGGGGCTCCATCAACCCTCCCTGAGGCCCTGCCCTTGGGAAGTGCCTGGTCATGTCATGATCAAGACGAGGACTTTCACTAGAAGGCACAGCCAAAATTTTGATCTCACGGAATTGGCTTTCTCCTAACAGCAAGATGGATGTTGTGTGTGTGTGAATGTTGCCTGTTTGCCATCCATGGAGCCAGCAGCTCCCATGCCATTCCTCATACGGCCACCAGAGGGAAGGTGTGTCACTGCCTCTGAGAAACACGCTGCTGCGTTCTGAAGTGGTCCTGTCCAATTGAGCCTTCCTCAGAAGATGTTTTAGAAACTGAGGCTTTCTTTAAGCTATAGAGATTTGCTTTTCTTCTTCCATCTCGTTCGGGATCTAATGTAAATCTACTCCAATTCACAAGTAGAAGGTGAGCCACCGAGGGGAAGCT